GACGCCAGAAGCACCAATGCGCACGCGCAAGAGGCGTGCCCCTCCTTTCCCCCCCCCCCGGGTCAGCCGCGCGGTCGACTCCGAAACCCGGACTGGATTTCGGAAGCGGGAACGGGGCCGGTGTTCCGTTCGGTTTAAAAAACCAAGGTTTCCCGTACCGACGGTCGCGGCGGGAGGGGAAGGATGGAAGCAACGTGAATTTTTTTTCCCATTATTATTTTGGGACTAAGGCTCCGCGGGGGTCGGCCGTCGATTGCACCGGGGAGGGTGAAGTCGCGAGATTGCAAAGCCCTCGCCCGCCCCAGGTCGGAATTTGGGGGCAGCGAGAGGGGGGGCGTGGTTAGCGCTGGGGACGGGGGTGGGGGGGCGCCCGCGGAGCCGTCCCGCCCTCGGCCAGGCGGAGAAAACGCGAGGCAGGGCAATGGTGGGGCTTCATTGTTAAAGGCCGACGGCTTGGGCTTCGCGGGCAGCCCCGGGGGTCTGCGGCGGGGGTCTGCAGCGCCCTTGGAGATCTGGGGAAGGAGGGGCGTCACCCCTTGGACCACCCTGGGCCGCCCCTTCCACCTTCCCACCCCACCACCCCGCGTCTTGGAGCCGAAGACCATGAGCGACGACGCTGCTGCTGCTGCTGCTGCTCTGCCCCGGGTCTCGCGTGCCTGCGCTTGGGGATCTGCAGCCGCTGGTGCGCAGTCCATGGGCGGCGGGGCGTCCTTTGTCCGGCTGGGACCTGCCCCGGCGGGGATCTAGAGCGAGGAGGGCGGCCGCCGGCGAGATCCGAGGAGGAGGCCCTGATGCACGACAGCCTGGTAAAGGGGGAGACCAACAACACAACAAAAGGCTCACGCGAGCCCTGGGTTTTTTTTTGGGGGGGGCGGTGCAAAGACGCCTTCCTACTCAAACGGCTGGTCCTGCGGCCAGGGCACGGGGTGGGGGATCCGATCTGGCGAGCAGGTCGGCGGGAAGGGTGCAGCGGATCCCCGCAGATCACTTTGGGGGGGGAATGCCCCCTCCTCCTCCCAATAGGAGCGGTTGGATTAGGCGAGGCACGTTCCGCGTTCACAGTTGCTTGGCTGGTTATTTTGATCTATCTGTACCCCCACCTTTCTCTCCGATGGGGATGCAAAGGGCCTGACGTCGTTCTCCTCTCCTCCAGCGGATCCTGCCTCGCAACTAACCCTGCGAGACAGGTTAGGCACAGACGGTGTGTGACTGGCCCGAGGTCGCCCAGCCAGCTTCCGTGGCACCAGTGGGGATTCGAACCCAGGTCTCCCGGATATTAGTCTGATACTGTGAACCACCACAACGCCCTAGCTCTCTGTCAGAGTTTATGAAGGCCTGTAAATGTAGGGGGCGGGCAATCTACCTGCCTTTCGGTCGTTTTGGCTTTAAAGGGGATGGGGCCAGGTGGCATTATGGAATTTATGCGCTCCCTCCCCCGGCTTTTAAGTTATGTGATTTTTCTCAACATCAAGCTAGACTGTATGAGGCCGGTCAACCCTTTTTATAGGACTGCTGCAGAAGCACCTCGTATCGCTGGTAGCCCAATTGGGTCAGATCTTGGAAGTTAAGTAGGTCGGACCCTGGTTGGTGCTTGGATGAGAGACCACCATGGAAGTCCTGGTTAGTATTTGGATAGGAAGACCGCCAAGGAAGTCCAAGGTCTGTATGCAGAGGGAGGCCATGGCAAGCAATGCCCCCTCTAAGAACAGACGTTTCACCATATTTGATGTGCAGTTATTAAAACTGCACACAGTTCCATAGCTACTGTGTTTGGATATTATCTGGGAGTCTTGAAGCATCCCACAAATTTTAAAATCGGGGCATAATAGAAAACAGGAGCTGCAGTGGCTCAAGTGGTTAAGAGGCTGAACTGCAGGCTGTGGAAGGTGAGTAGTTCAGCAGTTTGAGACCCAAGTTGCCGCATGAGGGAGTGAGCTCCCGTCTCTGGTTCCAGCTCCTGCCAACCTAGCAGTTCGAAAGCAAGAAATTGCAAGTAGGTAAATAGGTACCACTTTGGTGGGAAGGTAACAGCGTTCCGTGCGCCTTGGGGTTTAGTCATGCCGGCCACATGACCACGGAAACGTCTTCGGACAGCGCTGGCTCTTTGGCTTTGAAACGGAGATGAGCACCACAACCCTAGAGTCGGACTCGACTGGCTTTCGAGCAAGGGAACCTTTACCTTATAATAGAAAACACGTGGAATATGAGGGTGAAAACCTACAGAACTAAAACCTCCCAGAAACCACATTTTATGCTAGCAGAGTCACTGAATCAAAAGGACTAGTTATTCCCCCGAAGAGTACCTGGGGGTACCAGATAGGAAGAATGTAGAAATCTGAACAATTGGCCACGGAAAAGTAAGTCGTTGGCAAACCGTCTCTGAACGTCTCTTGCCTCGAACGTCCCATGAGGAGTGACCATACATCAGTGGCCACTTGATGGGCACTTTCCACCCCCAGTCTGGTATACTCTGCCCTGGACAGACTAGCCCGACCCTGTCAGATCTTGGAAGCGGAGCCGGATCGCCCCTGATTAGAACTGGGATGGGAGGCCACCAAGGAAGGCTGGGGTCTCTATGCAGAGGCAGGCAAATGGCAAACCCATCAGTTATCTGTGACTTGACGGCCCTTCCCACCACCAGCCTTGGAACAAATTCGGAATTCTGCGCATGCCCCAGTCCCCTGCGGACCTTCAGCCAATTTCTGTCAGATTTAGCTCCAAATCTCAGGATATCTTGGGAGGTTAGCGATCCGAGCCATTCCCACCCACCTTCCAAGCAAGGCTCCCTCTCAGCTGTGGAGTCTTTTGAGCAAAACTTCTACTTTGCGAGCTACTGGCATTAAAGTTGTGAGTGAGCAATTTGGCTACTGCATAAATTGGTTTGCTCTGGAGCCATCCTTCCTGAGCAAAGACAAAAATCTGTGAGCCGGAGGCTAAAAAACTGTGAGCTAGCTCACACTAACTCAGCTTAGAGGGAACACTGCTCCCAAGGCACTGGACGATCTCCGCTAGTTTTGGTGCCTGTGTGATGCTTAGCTGCCTCACGCTCTAACCTTCTGTAATTAGAACGTTTTAAAAATCCGACACTATATATGGGCTTCTTTCAGCCACTTTGCATTTCTGGAGGAGGCTGCAGAGGAAGATGTTTCCTTTCTTCCCTAGGAAAGTCGTGGGGCTTTTCTGTGGTGTTGACCAGTTGCCTTTATCAGCAGATGTGTGGTTGTTCAGGGCTGCACTGAATTTATTTGGGATTTTACTAACCCCTCTTGGCAGGAAGATTTCTGACTGCAGTTCTCGTAGGAAGTCACACATACACAGACCTTTGTTGGCATACGTCAGGTTACAGGAAGAAACAGAAACAGATAAAGAGGTAGCAAGGAGAAATAAGTCAATCATAGGCAATGATGCATTGTGCAATTGATCCTTAATTACCGCTAAAGAGCTAGCAAGGAGAAATAAGTCAATCATTTGCAACGATGCATTGTGCAATCGATCCTTAATTACCAAACTTAGAAATAAGGCTACCTTTTCAGCATAGGGAGTCAAGGTTCCCAAGGCAGGAAAAATCCCGGGAAGCGGGTCACCTGGAAAACTGGCGATGGCTGCAGTCCTCCCTGCCTGCTTACTTGGCAGTAAATCCTATTTAGATTAGTGGGATAGGCTTCTCAGAATGCGCAGGACTGGTCTGGTCTGCCTGCACAATGGATGGGATTGTGAGTTGTCCTCATTCACGTGGGGAGAATAGCTTCTGCCGCTAAAACCCAGTTGGATGAACGTTCCCTGGAACCTACGAGTGTTAGAGGGGAAATCAGCAGAAAAGCATGGAGATGGGGAGCTAGCCACAATGCGTGGCTGTGGGCCCACGACCCAGTGGTGGAGCATCTGGTTGGCAAGCAGAAGGTCCCAGGTTCAGTCCCTGAAATCTCCAGTTCAAAGGGCCAGGTGATGGGAAAGACCTCAGCCTGAGACTGCCTTGCAGAGTCACTGCCAGCCTGAGTAGACCAGACTGACCTGGATGGACCGACGGACTCTGATTCGACACAAGGCAGCTTCATATGTCCGTAGCCCTGTGTGACTTTTAAAACCTGCACAGTTGATGCCGGGGGTTCTTCAGGGAGCGAAGGAGAAGAGCCTTTTGCTGCTTGTAGGCCTGTTTTTTCCTGCAGACACCATAATGTTCTGCAGAGTAACTTTACTCTAAAGGTAAAGGTTCCCCTTGCTTGAAAGCCAGTCGAATCCGACTCCAGGGGGCGGTGCTGCTCATCTCCGTTTCCAAGCCGAAGAGCCAGCACTTGTCCAAAGATGTTTCTGTGGTCGTGTGGCAAACATTGAGAGGCACGGAACGCTGTTACCTTCCCACCGAAGCGATACCTGTTTATCTACTTGCAATTTCTTGCTTTCGAACTGCTAGGCTGGCAGGAGCTTTAAGCCCACTGAAATCATTGGGCTTAGACTGGATCAGCTCTGCATAGGATTGTGCCGTTAATAGAACTTACGTTGTACGTGTCTGTCTGTAGGTGGGTATAATCCTACTATAAAACTGGAAATATTTGGCTGGGAGAAACCTGTTGTGGTCCCCCCTCTCAGGTCACGTTAATTACTGGGGCTGAAGGCGTCCCTTTACCAGACACTCTTTGCCTAAACACCTGCACAATCCTATTTCAGAACTATTTTCTAAGGATATTTCTTATCTCCGTCCTTGCACACGCTTAGGTGCCTAACGCCCTGATCCTGCGCAGAGCCTCTGGGGTCCTCAGCATGAAAGCCTCCATCGTTTTAAAAAATCTTTTATTTCAGTTGGAATTGTTTTATTCTGTGTAGTTCACCTATGCCCCACCTTTCTCCTCCATGGGAGAAAGCAGCTTACATCATTCCCCAATTTATCCTCATGACAATCCTGGGAGGTAGGTTAGGCTGAGAGCAGGTGACCGGCCCAGGGTCACCCAGTGGGCTTCCATGGCATGAGAATTCGAAGCTGGGTCTTCCAAATACTAGTCCAATACTCTTAACCACCAGACCCCACTGGGTGAGATAAACTTAAATTGCTGATTTAAAAAAAAAATTAGCCTGCTCAATAAAGCTGAATTAAATACAGAGCCTGTGTGTGCTAAAAAAAAATGGAATCCGTAACAAACACATTGAGTTAAAGGTTGCTTTCCTATGCAGAGGGGGGAAAGTACGATAATATCTACCTTTTTGAGATCCAGCATTATAAATATTGGGCCATATGTCAATATAGGAGCTTAGGTGGCTGAAGTGGTTAAGACGCTGAACTGCAGGCTGTGGACGGTCAGTAGCTCAGCAGTTCAAGACCCAAGTTGCTGCATGACGGAGTGAGCTCCCATCTCTAGTTCCAGCTCCTGCCAACCTAGCAGTTCGAAAGCAAGAAATTGCAAGTAGATAAATAGGTACCACTTTGCTGGGAAGGTAACAGCGTTCCATGCACCTTGGTGTTTAGTCATGCCGGCCACATGACAGCGGAAACATCTTTGGACAGCGCTGGCTCTTCGGCTTTGAAACTGAGATGAGCACCACAACCCTAGAGTCGGACTCGACTGGCTTTCGAGCAAGGGAACCTTTACCTTTTTATGTCAACATAATATTTAAACAATTAGTACGTGTTTTGTTTAGCGAGTATCTAAAGTTCAAATGGGCAACTCGAGTTTTTTTGGGGGGGCGGGTTGTATTTTTGCATTTGAGTGCATGTGTGTCTGGAAGTCATGGCGACCTTTAGTGACTCCTACAGGGGCATGGAGGACATTCAGAGAAATGGCTTGATAGCCTGCCTCTAAGCCTCCCGGCCCTGGTATTCTCTGGGAGTCTAGCTTAGCTTCCAAGATCTGACGAAATTGGCCTTGGCTGGGATGTCCAGGTCAGGGCGGCAGCTCGATTTTAATGAAGGTTTATCGTTAACTTAAAGCTCTCAATCATTGATTCCCAAACTTTTATGGGTGTGGCGACCCACCGCTCCAGATTAACTTGGTATGGTGACTCATCCAAGGCTAACCCAAGGCTGTTGTGCTGTAGTTAAACTGTGACCCTGACACCAAACTGGTTC